ACATGCAGCATTCATCACTATGTCATCAAGACCTCTTGGCTGCCTGTTCAGGTCGGTACTAACTTATAATACCGTATTAATGCGTATTATTTATATCTATTTAGTATGTTCTCAGTAACACTTTCTTAAAAAATGATCATTTACATCTTACATTCTCGAATAATTTCATATATAGAGTCAGAAGGTTCATTATAGAAGGTCTCTGTCAATATCTGAGAAGTGTATTGTTCTTCATAAGATGTTTTCGTCAATATCTGAGTTGTTCTTCATTTGATGCTCAATGATTGAGTTGTTCTTCATAATCGTTTACCTCAAGGCCATAATTAGCGCAATACGCTCGTCTGTTCAGTTTGCACTTTTCACACGTTTGTTTCCTACTGTAGCCGCAGTTTGACGCATCTCTTATAGCATTTGTTTACCATGAGTAGTTTTCAGCATCACTCTTTCTCCACGTGTCACTTTGCTCCCGACGCCGACCTGTATGGTATGGTGCGGAGATGCTGAACATTTGTCATATTATTATTTATCAGATTTGAATGGTTGTAGGATTTATTACTGTCTGTAATAGCCCTTAATCCCTTTGCAGACGAAAATGCAAATAATTTCAACCTGCGGCATTAGACCTGTGACACTAACTTGAAGCCCGTTTGGCGAAACTTTGCTGTAATAAAATATGTTTGTGTTGAATATCCATAGTTTTATGCCCTTGTGTGAATTACAAAGTCAGTGAACGTGAAGACCATTACCAGAATGGTACCTTACCATCTTAGACTGTAAGGCAGCGGTTACACCTACATAGCGACCGCCTGAGTGTGTTTATGCTGTCCCTGAGGCTGGGTGAGGGAATGTTTGGACCGTCAAGTGCTGCTGATAACCACGATATTCTGACTCAAACCATGTTCTCATATAAATTGCTTTCTACACCCTCCTGGTATGCTGAGGCCAGTGAATACTTTTGGCGTAGAAAACTAAAGTTAGATGCTCATGGATGTATATGTAGACCACGTAAATTTGCATTAAAATATAACGCGTTTTTTCAAACACTTATAATATATCGAGGTGCTTAAATTCATAACCAATCAGATGTATATTCGTGAAATTTATTCGTTTGAAATGCATCTCGTGATTCAGAGGCAGCGAGCTATTCATATCAAATTTCTGACGACCGCAAACTTTACTGGGGCGATAACCGCAGCGAATTCTTTTAAGGGGACCGGCTACCCACCGGAAAAACTTCTACAGTTATCATCCGATTATCATGAAACTTCACATACATACGTAGAAGGTAAAAAGAAAAACATTTTGCTCTTATGTATTTTTCGAAAAAATTGATAGAAAACGTGAAATTCATAGAAAACTGCTAAAAAGGGGTACTTCAGAAAATCTATCTCCTCCCACAAATATCATCCTACAACATCGAGACACGTATCATTCGATTAATCTAATTACTTAAAGAACTCTCTCACCCGCTTCCCTTTAAAGAGACGTCATGAACGTAAATATTAACGTACAGCGATGGCAGTGGTACCATTGGAAAGAGCAAAATTCCAGCTTTCAGATGAGCACAAAAACCGAAAAACGCCAAAATTGAAAATTTTAGGGTAGCCGGTCCCCTTAAGACGGGCGGCTTCTCTTGAAAACCGCACGGAGGGAATAATGTTCGTTTTGAATTTATTTCAGTTATGCTTAAACTTCGACAGCAAGAAAAAAATTTTTTAAACATATTCATTAGGAAATTTCTTAATACACACGTTTAAAATGCTCACTCAATCCATTGACAACTTAGGTTAGTAAAAATGAAAGGAAAGTATCCCAGCGAAACACGAGTAGGAGTTTGTTGTAGGTTTCTCTCACGCCTCCAATTCATCGTCGCTTGGTAGCTTGGAACTCGAGATGCTTACACCGATACATTTGGCAACGCTCACCCTACATACACTTAGCAACAAACATGAACGCTGACTCATTAAATAGTTCAATTAGAGTATTTCGGAGGACAAAACCAAGTAAAACTGGCATTCTCTATAAGTTTAAAGATTAGAAAAGCATTATAGATCGATATTTCACGTATTATATTTTGGTGGGATGAAACTTCATCCCTTCAGCAATGAAGAGCAATTTTATCTGCAGTTACCCTGCCAAGCCAGCAACGTTGGCATTGGCGTAAGCGAAGGCTTCATTCAGAGCGAAAATTGTGCATTCAGAGGGGAAAAAATTAAGGCATTCAGAGGGAAAATTATGCATTCAGAGGGAAAAAAGGCATTCAGAGGGAAAATTATGCATTCAGAGAGAAAAAAATTAAGGCATTCAGAGGGAAAATTATGCATTCAGAAGGAAAAAAATAAGGCATTCAGAGGGAAAAAAATTAAGGCATTCAGAAGGAAAATTATGCATTCAGAGGGAAAAAATTAAGGCATTCAGAGGGAAAATTATGCAGTAGAGCGGGCCACTGTGGCGCGTAGTGCTTGTTAGTTTAGCAATGCCGTAATTCTTAAATCTGTATGTTAAAAAAAATTTAATTCCTATTTATTATTTATCTTTATTTTCTTTAACCTTAAAAAGTTTAATTCCTACTTAATATTTATCTTTATTTTCTTTAACTGTAAAGTTTCGGGCTCAGCCAAACCTCAAAATTTGTCTTATTTTTAGTTCGCTCCTCTTGAATATCTTTACCAGCTGGATTATTACTTATTCATCGTGTCTTCTACTCATCCCGTATTTATTTATTAAACGTCAGTTATTCCTCCTCATACTAATGTAAAAACGTGTGGTCAAGTATCTCAGTATCACAGATGATTATCACATCGCAGTACATCTGAGCTTCACAAAGGTTAATTGCGTTAATGAGTTAATTATTCTGCATTGATCTTTATTGTTATTTCCAGCTCATTTGATCACTTCGGTGCCGGTGCTTGACACGATCTTGTTCTCCTAACTGTACTGATTTTTATTGAATTCAATTTGTAAGAAATGAATTTGAAAATTTATAAAAAAGTAAAGTTTAAGAGAACGTCCAATAAGTGAAAAATATTGTCGCATGAAAATATCACTGAAAATACCAGATGAATCTTTCAACAAACTAGGACATTGCTTTTAACTTTTTGCTAAACGCTTTTAATTTTATTATTATTTAGACTTAAGCAATGGTGGAGCGCAGCTTCTTTTTCGCAAGGAAGATCAACAGTTCGGTAAACAAGCAAAAAATTGACGCAGTCACGGCCTGCAAAGTTCATGAACACTTCCAGGGGCCATACTGCAAACTCGCTAAGTGAACGTAAGTACTTAGGGTACGCACACAGTGGAAGCAGGTTTGCCCGCGCAGGCAACCTGCTCCAACCTGCCACAAGAATGAACATAGGATAATAATGTAAGTGTTCACAGTTAAAACCTGTACGAATAGGCTTCAGTACTCTATGGTTTCAGGCGCCAGCCTGAGCAGGTAACCAGCACGCTGGCAACCTGCTTTCACTGTGTGCGTACCCTTACGCTCTATATTCTTGTCCATGATTGGTGAATTTTGCCTGAAAGGCCGTCAATTATTGGCTGATGAACTTACGATCTCTTAATTTTTTTGAAAGTATAGGTCCAGAAAATTAACCCGCGTGATCGTCACAACATTCCCAGTCGCCCAAGACTTGAATTCAATTGCTATTCATTTACCGCCGGAATACACAATTACTTCAAAGGTGCATAAGTAGGAATTATTCCCTGAATTGAGAATTCGATTTCTTTTTATTAAAAGAAATTCGTTTCACTCATTATTAACACTGCTTTACTACTATATAGGGTAGCTTAATTGCCCCCAAATTTAATAACGAATAACAAATGAATTTTATGTTAGCTTTTTCTTAACTTAAGTGCAATAAATTGCTTGCGGCGCAACCGGTATCTTCGATTCAATTTACGCCTTTGCTGTCACTACGAAAAATGTGGGCAATTGTGATAGTTTAGAACGAAATTATCTTTCTTAGAAGTATGCAAATAAATTGCTGAGAAGCTCAATATTTTTATATGCGTGAATATTTGTAATTATTAATGATAAATAATGATTAACGTATACAAGCATGGAAGAATTCCAATAGCCGGACATCGTTTGCGTAGTTTTAATGAGCAGAGGCCGCGCCTGTTAGATGATCATTATTCACTATACAATGTTGAAGCTTGCGAATGCCTAATGGTGCAGAACGCTGTAGGCTTTACTATAAGATATTTACTAGATTTAGTATTTGATCTTGAGGTTTACATTCACATCAGGTATATTTCATGATTTTTCTTCATTGCGCGCTTTTCAAATGTTTTGCCACCGGCCAATTGGCTGTAGGCGCGGTGGTTTAACTTTCATTTTAGCAGAACTTCGGTTTCAAGAAGAGTTTAGTATAGCCTCGGGCCATACTTTCAAAACTCGCTAAGTGAACGTAAGTACCTACGCTCTATTTTCTTGTCTATGATTGGTGGATTTTGCTTGAAAGGCCGTCAATGATTGGCTAATGAACTTACGATCTCTTAACTTTTTTTTCTGAAAGTATAGGCCCAGGTCTACACTTCGAGAGCGTGTTATGGCTGGGACAAGCGCACGCCTGTGTACTCGTACATCTCGGATTCTGATGAGGCTAGTTGCGTGTCTTGACTCGAGGTGTTTCGGGTCACGTTTAGACTATGAGAAAATCTCGTCTAAGCACTCAGCATTTGGTCCAATCTTGCTTTTTATGTTTGCAGAAGATTATTCCAAGCGAAATTCTATGGTGTACTGTATTTTGTAAGCCAGCGCTGCGGAAGTAATGATCTAGAAGTTTTCGTTCATTAAAAAATATTTCAATAGTGATGAAAAAACTTAACCAGTTAGAAAAATAATGATTACTTTAGAACAAAAAATAAGCAGTTGCCAAGGAGACCACGCTAAGGAGGAGACCACGCTAAGGAGGAGACTATGCTAAGGAGGAGACCACGCTAGGGAGGAGACTATGCTAAAGTTGAGACCTGACAAAGGAAAATGATGCATAATAATTATTTTCACCAAATTTACCATAATACTTGGGATGGAATAGCTATGTTTTCGGTGATATTTCAAATCGTAAGTATAATCTTGTAAAACACGTTCTCTATAGTTAAGAATGAGTTTACTATTTGATCAGTCACGTAAGAGATCAATACATATATAACCAGAATATTCAGAAATCAAACACGGAATCCCTCAATTCTTCACTCTAATTAGGCTCCAGAAGGAAGATTCAATTTGAAAACATCAAGTTGGTACTGGAAATTCAATTAGACATAAAGGTTCAATTTGATACTAATGTCTATAAAGCGCCCACATAAACTATCAAAATCCACGATTATTCGTCGTCAATTAGACGAGCAATGAGAAATTTTTACTTACGTTGTCTGGCGTCGACAAATATTATGCCAGACTTTTATGGCGCACGCATTTCATAACTGCGGGTCATCTGCTAGAATAAATACTTCATGACTCCTATCTCGTCTACGATAAGGTACCACAAATAATACATTACACTAAAAACTATTGCAACTGGAAAATATGTTCCTTAGACTAGACAGCAAACAAGAACAGGCATATCCCTCTCGGAATTTAACAAAGCAAAAACCTAACTAGCATAATAAAGTGGCATTCAAGTTCAATAAAAACAACAAAAAAGTATACAGTAAACGACATTTAAATTACATGACAAAGCATGACATATGATATACATCGAAATTAGAGTTCAAGCAATAAGCAGGAAGGCGACGCTATTAAAGCACAAGCCCCTCGTAGCTTGGTCCGTCAGGTAGCGGTTGTTCTTTGCGCAGTGCGAGGTGCGCGAGCGTCGTGTTCAAGTGACTTGTTACTTGATCCAGGTCCTCACCGCTCTCCAGTTGCGTCAAGTCCTCCTTCACTTTGCTGATCAGTTGATTAATCATCGATATCGTCACCTGTTAAACAAGAGTACTCTATAAAAATTTATATTCAAGATCAAATTCGGAGTTTGAAATAGCTGTGGCTTTTCGAGAAATTCATTTTTTGCGGCGGTGATACCAGGTATAACCTTAAATTGAAACAATGTAAATGCAGCGTTTCGAGCAATTAACTTTGCGCAAGTAATGATTTCTATAATAGGGAATGTAGGAAAACTCACACCAGGAGTTTGTTTCTCGTAGAAGTAAGTGTAGTGGTTGAGAAGCTGGACGAAGAGATGAAGTTGCACACTCGCGTCCATGCACTGCTGGCTGATGCGCACCGCCTTCTTGAGGCACTCCACCACACGTTTCTCGTCACGCAACTGAGGAGTTTCGTTGTTTACACAAGGGCTCGGACGCATACAACAGGTTAAAACTTACGACAGATTTGTACATAGCCATGTGCTCGAATCAACTTGGACAAAATTCATTAGACTCGTAAGGCGAGAAGGCTTACAGATAATGTGAAAAGAAAATTGTATATTTATCTTTGCTTATACTCGAGTTATTCGACTAATGATGAACCTACCGTCATCAATGCTTTTCGTGTCTAAAAGCCTGTCAAATATAAAAGAATAAGTTGATCCAGAACACAATAATGCACAAGACATGAAGCATTGATCACACCTCCTGGCCGTTGATGGTCGCCGACCAGAAGAGGTGGGCGCACGTGGTCACTGCGCGGGCTTGGTCAGGTTTCTTCAGGAGTTTGGAGGCGGCCAGTGCGCAGTTCGTCCTCAGCGGCTGGTGGTTCTCCTCTGTGAAGTTACGTGTCTGCTGCACTGTTGCCACGATCAGCGTCAGCGCTGACAACTGAGCCTTGCTATCGCTGATCTCGTCTTCGTACAGGGAGAAAGCCTGCAGTAACAGATGCATCAGTAATTCAAACGAGAAGTAAGTAATATGAGTAGTGTAAGAACTGTGATGCGATTTAAACTCTTTGATATATCCGATTGGTATTGTTGCGCCAAGGAAAAAAATTTAAATCAGTAAGAACATTTAAAACAAACAATTTTATAAGGCCACTCAATACGTTCCTAGGTCTTACAAAGGAGGTTTAAAAATGTACGACCGAATTTCCTAAAATTTAAGAGCATACGTACAAAATCAACCATCTAAAATGACATATTTACCATATGTACGTATTATTAGTACAAAATGACATATTGACCTTTTATCATTTTCTTTAAACATCGATTAACTCCTTTTAATAAGAAAAAATATAATTCAGTACTCACTGCAGTGAGTGACAGAGCACGCATTTTCTCGTAGACAAAAACGTGAAGTCACGGACGGACAGACAGACGGACGACAGACAGAAAGACGGACGGACGGACATGGCGAGCACAATAATGCATTTTTTTTTATAAATGAGAAAATGCGCTAAAAAACCTGAAAATTCAACTAACAATAAGTTAAAATAATAGGCGCTGGTAAACTAAACCACCTGAGACATGAACTCGTAGGCCACGGTGTCGTGGCCGGGGAAGGTGATGACATCAGCAGCAAGAGCGCCCTGAAGGTAGAGTCTCAGGGGCAGCTCGCTGTACTCCGCCTTGACCAGAGCCGCGATGGTCGCGTGGCAGAACTGGAAGATTTTGTGCACCTTCTTGCCCCATTTTTCATCCTGAAATTTTGGACAGTAAATGTTAAAAGAGTCCGTCCCTTCAGGCAGAATACCGGACAGAAAAGTAACATAGGCACTTAAAAAGGTTTCTAAAATGGAATGCATTTTCACTTTAGGAATGATTTTCATGGAACATATTTTGCACAAATCAAGACATTGGAAGCATAGCAGCATGAACTTGATCATTTGGAGTGACAGTCAAAGAGCAAAACAAGAACGAAACGCAAGGGTTTAACGTATCAAATGACGACCAAAAAACAGCAAACTACCGCAAACTTCAGGCACTCAGGACAATCAACTTCATTTAACGGGAGCATTTTGTTCAAAAAAAAAAATTTATTTACTGACGGATCATTTTGAAACTTGGTACACATATGTAAAAAAGAAACCTAATACTTTTTGTTTGTGTAAATTTTTCAAAAAATAAATGTAAAACGTGATATTCATAGAAAACGGTAAAAAAGGGGGGTACTTTTAAATAAATAATTACTCTCCTCGTTCAATTCACGTGCTACAACAACGAGACATATAATTCGATTCGTAAAGACAGTATCTAGCGATCCCCGACCATTTTCCAAATTCTATTTTTTTTGGGTGGGTAGGGGATTTTTCTGTTTCCTCAGTTTTGCCCATGTACCAAATCGAATGGTATCTCTCAATGCTGTAGCTTGGACATTATAGTTCGATTATTGAGATGAAAATTTTAAATATACTGTATCAGCTTACTTTTTTATATAGGCAATTAATATTTCAAGCCTCAATAGATTAACATTGCTGGGTTCCATTACCGATTCTGAGAATATTGAATTAATTAACATCCCAAATATTGTATCATCAAATAATTTCAAGGATATCTCAAAGTTTGATTTCCTACGAATATTGCGTACTACTCAGATCATGGGCATTTTACCAGCCCAATACCGAAATAAATTTAATTCTTTTTTCAATTATTTGAGCTCTTTAAATGGGCGAGTCTTCGACCTTTAAGCTGAGCCTCAAAACTAGAAAAGTCAAAATTTCTTTTTTTTTGACCGAAATGCTCCTCTTAAATTTAAGGTTTAATTTGAGCGCACAAATAATATAATCCACATATCACATCTAAAGTGGGATGTGATATGTAAAATTCTGGGTTTTCGTGGCCTCTTTCTGATTCTATCTGAATTTTTATTATGGGCTGAAATAGGTGGCAGTATTACTACCAACAAAAAAGATTTGCTCATATAGTCAATAAAATATAATTTATACCTATAAGAAATCACATGGCCTGGTTGATGGAATTGACCATGCGCCAATACGTAATGAAAATACAGTTAAGATATCGTAAAGTTAAGAGATCGTAAGTTCATCAGCCAATCATTGACGGCCTTTCAAGCAAAATCCACCAATCAGACAAATAGAGCGTAAATACTTACGTTCACTTAGCGAGTTTTGAAAGTATGACCCCAGCTGTAATTTAACCTCGTGTAATCTAACCTCACGAGATTAACCACACGCATTATAACTTGATGAACAACAGACCTGGTCCTTGTTATTGAAGTAAGCATGCGCGAGCTTGTAAGCCAGGAAGACGAGCGTGGGGAGCGTGTGGATGACGCGCTTCGGTCCTCCTGTCTCGAGGTGCTTGCGTGCAACTTGCAGGATCAGGTACTGCAGGTCGTTGGTAGCGCCCTCAAACTGGTGTAGCAACCTGATAATAGAAATGGAACTTAGAGCAAGTTTATGGTTTAAGAGCTGTAGTAGTAGTGGTAGTAAAGAGCCACCATACTTGTAGTAAGAGCCACCATACTAGTAGTAAAGAGCCACCATACTTGTAGTAAAGAGCCACCATACTTGTAGTAAAGAGCCACCATACTTGTAGTGAAGAGCCACCATACGTGTAGTAAAGAGCCACCATACTTGTAGTAGAGAACCACCATAGTTGTAGTAAAGAGCCACCAGACTTGCATTAGAAAGCCACCCCAAGTATGGAAAGCCATACTTGGGGCCTCTTTGAAATGATACAATATCGCGCGAAGAAAATTCGTGTAGGAGCAAGCATGTGGTTAGGTACTTGCTACTGAAGAAGCATCAGTGGAAGTGTCAGTAGCATTCTTAAATCAGGATAAAATAGCCAAACCTGGAAATTCCTCAGTTATTGAATGAGTACAGACGGTTGTCATTACATTGGAGTAATCTATATACAACATCAAAACTGAACTACTGAGTTGTTTCGATTATGAGTTGGAACTATTCTTTTCTTGGTTGTTTCGTAATTTCGGTAGAAATACCGGTAGCAGTCTTGGTAGAAGGCTACGCTGGACAACTGGACACTTTCATTCCTTCTGCTTAGAAATGCTTGAAAATCAAACACATTTGTTGTATGTACTTATTGTAATCAAGATGTTGTAATTTGGTTGTTGTTGAACTCAACGGAGGAACGTAACCTACATAATTTTATTGTTTAACGCGCGGCTAACTGCTGCTCCTTAGGCACCCTTAAAATCGAAAATTTTGGTGAAAAATCGAAAATTTTGGCTTTTCCGGTTTCTGGGCTCATTTTGTAGCTGCTGGAAAAGCGCGTCTAACGAAATACATCCCATATACGTATGAGCATGCTCTAGTTTTTGCGTAAAGCAACTCCAAAAAAATATAAAATGAACATTTTTTAACAATATGTACCAAGATTTCTTTAAATTAAATCCGTTTATATATATCATTATTCTCCTTAATTGCAAAGTGTTTGCACTTGTTTGAAAGCTACAAACAAGACTTGCTCAACAAAGCAAATACCATGGATGTACATGCAATAATTTTTGCATAAGGCTGTTTTAAACTTCCATAAATGACCATTTTATAACAATATTTAAAAAATTGTATTTACAGATCATTTGTCGCATTAATTGCAAAGTGTTTGCACTCGTTTGAAAGCTACAAACGATGCGCGTTTATGAAAGGAAATACCACGGATGTACATACAAGGTATCTTCGGGTTAGGCCGTTTTGAACTTAATGTAAAATGAACACTTTCCATTTGTATTAATGTAGAAAAATTCAAGTTATAGCTTATTATTCGCGTTAAACTGGACAGAAATAAGTCTAAAGACGCGTGCAGGTACCTACCCTAAATGCAACCAATTGGCACTGGGAAAGCTAGGGCTACAATATCAAGCAATTTTTTTGCATATTCTCCTTTTTTCAATAAATTTTACCTATTTGGCTCCGCTGGACAACTAAAATTTCCAAAATAAAAATAATCCATCTTAAATCCATCTTAAATAATCCATCTTTTCCATCTTAAAAATACGCCATCTCCTCCTATGATTTTCAAGCTACAGCATTGAGAGATATACGTACCATTCGATTCATAAATAAAATCTCTTAAGATCATCCCGGCCATTTCTTTCGATTTGTATTTTGTTTTGATTATATACTAAAAAAGAGGGAGGGGAGGGGTAAAAGTTGAAAAACTCAAAAAAAAAATTTGAAAAATGAAAGGATGACCTTTAGATATGGTCTTTACGCATCGAATATGTTTCTCGAGGTTGTAGGTTGAAAATCCTCGGAGGAGATCCTAGGATTTCTACAGTACCCCCTTGTTTAGCAGTTTTCTATGAATTTCACGTTTTCTTTAATTTTCTTCGAAAATTTTACAACAAGCTAAAAGTCATTGATTTATATTTACCTATGTGTACAAGTTCATAATGATCCATCCGTAAATAATTTTTTTTTTTTGCCGACATGCTCCCCGTAACTGATGTGGGAGTTAGCATACAATAACAATCAAAAGAAGTACAGGTAGTTACTCCTGAATCTCGTACAGCTTTACTTAAAACAATTGTTTGTTTCAGTTTAATCCTATTTCGTTAAGTTAGTAGACACAATAATTTACCAAGTTTTCAGCAAAAACTCGAAATGAAATTCTTGTTGATTGGTACTCACAGAAAATTTGTTAAATTAGTAACGTAACATTTAATTCGCTGCCCAGTTAATTCCAAAGACCGCTATAAAAGTGACTCAAATCAATACATAAAAAGATCAACAAAAAATAACCTGGCGAGTAGCAGTTGTTCCTCAGCCAGATCATCGGGGTCTGGCTGGCTCAATGGCTGGTCGTCAGCGTCGCGGACTAGAGATGCACACAGCCCTAGCACTCCGTCAACCTGCGTCAGGTAAAGCTTCCTTGTTATGTGTAACGACTGCTAGCCTCAGTATCCTTAGTACAAGTTTCGGGCGTAGCAGTCCCAGGCCACGATGGATCTTTACGGCCTCATGCTCACAAAACTTAATAATGGCGAAGAGCCAGTGACGTTCTTTATTCAACCGATCTAATAAAAAAGAAATATTTTAGCCCGCCCATGAATTTTACCAACAAGAGGCCCACGACATGAAGAAAATGATAACGTGTACAAATTAAACATTAACAAGTTCATACGTTCTTTGAAAGAATTTAATCATGTTAAGTAATTTGATTGCTAACCTAATTAATGTATGACTCAATTCTCTCCTTTGGGTAATGACTTTACTATATTCTTTTGTTTGATAGCGCAAATAGGATTTATGTTGATGTACCTCTTCAAACGCTGTGCGAATACATTTATTCCATATTCCATGTTTCCACATTTGTTACTTTTGGCTTAACTTGTTCAACAGAATTTGACCTGTGACTAATCCTATGTATCCCGGCATAATTCATGGCTTGTGTTCTTGAAATGAACCTAAAATTTTAAAGTCATGACATATCTTCTATCTTCTTAGAAACAAAAATTTAAAACAAAATTAGGCAAACCTTAGTGAATTTTAATAATTTTCAATTACTGTTACAAGTAGTGTCAGAATAAATCATATTTAAAGCAAACGAGTATGTTTCACACGTAAATTGCACACGGTTTTATCCTGATCTGTTCATATTTTAGGATCATGAACCGTTTTATAACGGTTCATGGCACTGCTCACAGCCTCACCTGCTCAGGAGTAGGGATTCGAGTCCCGTTTTCGAGCACATTGTTGAGCAGGAAAGTACCCATGGTGCTGCGGCCCTGGTAGTCAAGCAGCTGCAGCAGAGGCAGGAAATGTTGTAGCTGCAGGATCACCAGAAGATCGTTGTAGTTTCCTGTTGGCAACCGCAGCAGGCGCGCCAATTCCTTGCCCAACGGAGAGCCAGAGTGGATCCTGGCGGCAAAGTTGCTGTGTCTTTCAATGTGCGCTATAAACTTCATTCTTGCCTTACAAAACCACACTCATAATCATCTCATCCATTAATTTTATTTTTTGCTTATTTAATAATAATGATGAAATACAGAATTTAGAAGTGATAAATCATGCAACAAACATTGAAAATAACATCGAACGATAATTTAAGTTTGGCAATCATGATCATATGATTCATTGTGTCCATTTCTCAATATAAGTAGACTTTGAGATAAGTAGACTGTTCAGAAGATAATCAAGGTGCGATTATCCAACAACTTACTTAGTTATCTTGCGGGTGATCAGAAACGATATTCAAAGATTTGTTATTTAAGGTGTGATACACCAGCAACTTACTTGATATTCTTATGATCGATCATCACAGAGGTTATTCAAGTCGTTGGTAAGAGATATATGATTATCTAGCAACTTACTCGGTGATCTTGAGGTTGTCAGCGAAAATACTGAAGGGTTGGCAAGTGATATGTTATTATCTAGCAACTTACTTGGTGATCTTGAGGTTGCCAGAGAAGATATTGAAGTAGTTAGTTAGTGATATGTTTTTGTCTAGCAACTTACTTGGTGATCTTGAGGTTGCCAGAGAAGATATTGATGTACATAGTTTATTGATGCAGTTAGTAAGTGATATGTTATTATCTAGCAACTTACTTGGTGATCTTGAGGTTGTCAGCAAGGATGTGCAAGGTGTTGGCCAGGACGGTATCAACAAGGTCCAGTCTGTTGCTGTAGCATTGCTGTGCCAGGTTCACAAGCGACACTTGCAGGCTCACCATGTCTTCCAGAGGCATGTCTGGTCGAGACTGAAATGAAAAATAAAATAAATTGGAAAAGACTCCAACATTAAACATCTCAGATAGGTAGATTTCAAAAGCATAGTCTGATAATACCATCTACTTAGGCATCATATGAGTATTGTAATTTTGGGATTCAAATTATTGGTGTTAACTCTCTACCGCCTGACATGAGTAACAGGAGCAATATTGTCACGTGCCTACTCCACAAAAAGGATACGTTCTAGTGAGCGCAAAATGACTTGCACTGATGGTTGCCGCCACGTACGACAACTTTAAAATGTTCTCTGTTGCGTACTAACGTCCTCAGGTTGCTACACTCAATAGTTTACATATAATTTGCCACCACGTGCGACAACTTTAAAATGTTCTCTGTTGCGTACAAACGTCCTCAGGTTGCTACACTCAATAGTTTACGTATAATTTAAGTTGAAAGTTGTGTTCCCGGAGTCCATACGGCGGTAGAGGATTAAGTAGGAGGTCATTAATAAAATTCCCACGTTAGATCATTTCATGATTGATCACGAGACCTGATACAGGAAAATGTTTATTTGTTGCGACAGAATCATTTATTTCAATCATAAGGTAGTGAAAATTCTACAAAATTTCTAACATAATTCAATAAGCACATCAGAAAACATTCCACGCGCTGCTCGGTTACTTAAAGAATAAATAAAATAATCATTGTTTTGTATCCAATTATTTTCATATAAGTTTGAATCCGATGGGGAACAAACTGAATATATAATAAAGGTGCTGGCATAGAAGTCACGTATCTCGTTTGAGAACTAAAAAACCTGGACCTTTGACAAATGGGACAATTGTAAAATAAACAGAGATTTCAGTTACAATATTGGTTAGAAAACATTATGCTCACCTTGATGACTGTAGAAATGTGCTGAGAAAATATCTCGAATAGTTTTATTTCAGAGGGTATGCCGTCGCTGTCTTCTTTGTTGCCAAAAGCAGCAAGGCGATCAATGAGGCTGCTTATGATGCTCTTCACGTTAACGTCCTCGTGCAGCTCGGCACACGCTTGCAGGAACGGGCCCAGGGTTTGCAGGTGAAACTCGTCAGGGAAAACCTGGAGACAGAAGTGCATTAAATTTCCCGCAAACCGGTACTTATATCAAGATGGTTTCAAATTATAACACTGATATAACAAAAAAATAAATTACGACGTTTAAACTGCAGAACACTATATGATCATGATGCTTGGCATCCATATGGGAAGGTTGTTACGTTCAACGAGATAACCTAGTCAGAATTACTTGATTATTCTTCATGCAAATAAAGATGCTAACTAATAAAATAAACATGCTAACTACATCTTATCGGAAGTGCGTAATTAATCTTTATCATATATAAAATGATATCTATTGCAAGAAGAATTCAGGAATCATTGTTTTAACCAAAACTGAATGGCACAAAAACTTAGTTTCCAAGAGTGAAAGAATGTTTAAAAAACATGAGTAATTAATTCAAAACCCATTTCAATATTTTGAATCCACAGTAATATTTTGGTGGGGCATATTTGGATTCATAATAAAGAAAATATGATTATCACTAGACGAGTTTGATCAAGCATTCAAATTCTGCACTTGTCAGGCAACAAAATTTTCTGTTTGTAAATGAAGCTCAAAATTATGCAATGGAACGAATGTACGTCCCAAAATACTCTTTGTATGCAACCATTTCCATTATCATCAGTTATTGAAAACATATGAGCAAAATCTAATGAAGACCAACTCTGGCCAACTAACTAATCGAGTTGGCCAACTAACTAACCTATAGTGGCCAACAAACTCTGTTGTTGACTCAATCATTTCTTAAGAATGATGACCTTTATTAAAGGTCATCTGACAGCAGAAAATTACAACCGTTGATGATAAGATGAACGTAGTAAATAGTGACGAGCAGAATATAAGTTTTCCCCCAGACGTAGGCCTGGTTACCTGGATGATGCACTCCATGAGATACTCCTGAGAGAGAGCGTCGCGACAGCTGACTGCCTGCTCCAGCAGGCCTGGTAACACCATCTGCTCAGTTAAATGTTCCATTTAAATGTAAAATATATGAGTAACGATTGAGATATTTATAACAATGATTGCTGTGCTATTGGTTACAATGATTGTCATGGTTAGTTGAAGTTATTGAAGATATTAGAATCATTTATATTGGCAAACAAAACAAGAGTTCGTTGATCATTATTCACCAAATTTTGATTGATGGTATTAAGATTGTTAAAAAATTATTTCTCCAAATGGGATTTCGGATCCTAGGGCTGGAGCAGAAGTTAGACAGTATAAATAACTGGAATATTCAAGATGAGATTTTCACCATATACTAAAACTTTGAAACAAAAAAATATATGAATATTTCAAAAACTTGCCAATTCCAGCCATGGCTTTTAATCAAAAACCATGCAAGACTTAGGCAATGAAATTTTATTTAGCTAAGAAATCATATAATATGAAACAAATAAAATAACAATATGCATTTTGCCAACCACTGACTTCATACTATATAAAGTAATTATTCAAATCTTACAAGGTAATGATATCCTCGCATTATTATTTATTACAGTACCAACCTTCTTGTAACGCTCGACATCAACCATCTCCAGCTGGGACAGCCTGACAAGGTTGGTGTCCACAAGGATGCGTAGTTCTTGTCATTATTTATTACAGTACCAACCTTCTTGTAACGCTCGACATCAACCATCTCCAGCTGGGACAGCCTGACAAGGTTGGTGCCCACAAGGATGCGTAGTTCTTGTCGCTCCTTCTCCCTCTTTTCCTTCTCCCTTGAATGGCCCTGATGCTGCATGCGCACCCATAGTTTGTTCATCTCCGCAAAGTTCAGCAGAATGAACTCCAAGCTGTCTGAAATCTGAAGTGTGTACATTTTCATTATTAGAAATCAATTTGCCTCACTCACATCAGCAGGGTTGGCATTAATTAAATCAAAATGATTAAATCATGTGATTAAATCACTTGATTTTTTTTTATAAAAAAATCGTGATTTTTTTATTTTTACTTTTTATTTTTTTGTAGATTTACATATATTGAGTGGCAGTCTTTAATTTATTTTTAGGTATTGTTATTCGTGGTTTAGTATAAATGTACTATGAATGACAAATTGGTATATAAACTTGTTGCCTTTAATGTGTATTAGGTTCTAATAAATTGAATGTTTTTGGTACAGAGGAATCAAGTGTTGCAATACATTGCACATAGCTAGCAGCTTAGCTAATTCTTATAAGGCTATAAGTAGTCTTTAACTATTTGAATATTTGTTATATATTGATTACAATATACAATTTAAATGAGTTAGCTAGCTTATACAGGGTGTGGCAGAACAGATTGAGCAGTTTTGAGGTAAAATAAAAGAGTAACGGAGGTACATAAAGAAGAAAGTTTATTTTCCTCAAGCTTAACATAACATACCATTTAAAATACTTATGTTTTGAAAAGAATATCAAGAAGATGGTGTCTGTTAGCTGCACCACACTGTTGGAGTTGTTCTCGGAAGTTTCCTACAGCACGTTCACACACATGGCGAGGTATGGCCATAACCTCTGCTGCAATAATCTGTTCCCTTAGCTGTGGTAGGGTGTGATGGCGACTTCTGACCACCCTCTCTTTTAGATGTCCCCAAAGAAAGAAATCGCAAATGCTCAAATCAGGTGACCTTGCAGGCCACTGTAAATCACCCCTCAGAGACACCAGACGTCTGGGAAACATGCGTTTCAAAACATTGAGTGACATTCGGGCTGTGTGAGCTGTAGCCCCATCCTGCTGGAACTACACGTCTCCCAATGCTTCATTTTCAACAATGTTTTCCATCCTGGCTGCAAGAAATTTTTGCAACATTGCATTCGGAATTCACTGTCACGGTTACTCCCTCCTCTGAGAATGACTTCAACCGTGTGTTGCAGCTAACGGCCCCCATCTTCCAGAAATTGTTTTCAAAACATAAGTATTCTAAATGGTATGACCTTATGACCTTATGATGAGTTTAGGACGTCGTAGTCCACGGTCACGCTGATGCGCCGCCTTCGTCGTCCTCCGTCTCCGAGTCGTCGTCGGGTGTAACGTTGGACGTGTTCCGTCTATTTGCCCTCCTTTGGGCCACCTGATGCAAGATGCTGTTGCTTGTCACTTGCTGAGGGTGGTTTCCCATTACTGGACAATCCGGGATCTTTCTCAACCACTTGTCCAGTTGTCTCTTGAATGTTGCAAGAGTAAACTCCCCTCCTCTCAGCGCTTTTGGTAAGACATTAAAGAGCCTCGGTCCTACCACGGATAGTGCCCCCGATCTCTGCCGCGTCTTCGTCGAGGGGGTACCCTGGCCTACGCGTCGGCCGGTTACCCGGCATTCACGTGGGCCAGGCCAAACGGCAGAGGCCCCCCCGCCCGGATCGCTACCGGACGGAGGCTCCTTCACTTTTTCTGCTAAGGGCAGGGAAACCTTGGCCTCCTCTTCCCCCTACCCACATCTTTGGCCGCCTATCTTCCTAAGGGCTCCTTGTGCCCTGCTCTCCTCCCATCTCTTCTTCCTGCTCGTTCTTCTTCTCCTGGCCCAGGGTATACATGCCGTTGAACTGCATATTGTTCACTAGGGCCCAATCGTAGATTGACGATAGATCATCCTGTAATCTCTCGCAGTCTAGGTCGTCTGTGATCTTCATCAGCACTCTTGTATCGTCCGCAAATGATGATGTAGATGCGTGGGTGAGTTCCGAGTCTATGTCGGCAATGTGGATGAGGAAGAGGATCGGTCCAAGCACTGAGCCCTGCGGGACTCCGCTTTTCACCTTCGCTTCTCTCGATTTCGATTTTCCAATTGCGACAGCTTGTACTCTATCTGTAAGGAAGTTGTGGATCCACCTTAACAGGCTTCCTCCTACCCCCAATAGCCTCAGCTTTCTAAAGAGCACCCCATGGTCAACTTTGTCAAAAGCTTTAGCAAAGTCTAGGTATACCACGTCCACGCCAGCTCCCTCTTCCAGCTGGGCCACTAGACGGTGATGGTGCTCCAGTAACTGTGACAGACAGGAACGATTACGCTGGAAACCATGTTGTCCGTTATTAAACAGGTCAGCCTCTTCCATATACCGGACAAGTCTCCTGACCACTACCTTCTCAAAAACCTTGATCACATGTGAGGTCAAGGTCACAGGTCTGTAATTTTGGGGTCTGTCCCTCGCACCTCCTTTGTGAATTGGCGTTATCAGTCCTACTTTTAGGCCCTCGGGAATAATTCCCTCCATCATCGAAGCTTTCCAGAGCATTGTGAGCGGAGCCTTCAGTGCTCCAACACACTTCTTCAACAGCACTGCCGGAATTCCGTCGGGTCCTGGTGCTGAAAACGTCGCAAATTCTTTGATACTTATTTCCATATCTTCTGGCCCAAACTCAATGTTCTCCAACCCCCTTCTTCCTGGTAGTTCCTGGAGAACTTCGATTTCGTTCTCCTCCCTTGTGTAGCGAGGGTTACTGAAGAGTGATTCAAACTGTAATCCCAGTAACTCACACATACCCTTGTCATCTCCTACAAGGACATCGTTATCCTTCAGCGGACCCACTGGCGTCTTTATTTTACCCTTGGACTGGGCATATTTGAAAAAGTACTTCGGGTTTTCTCTGATTACTGTATGCTATGCTAATCTCTAGGAAAATAAACTTTCTTATTTATGTTCCTCCATTACTCTTTTATTTTGTCTCAAAACTGCTCAATCAGTTCTGCCCCACCCTGTACATTGAGAGGTTGAGATTGTATTGACCTTTTAGGCAATTAAAGATTTTCCACCCTAATACGAGTATTATAATTAAAATATTTAATTTCAATCTTTAAATATGTTAATGTAAAACTAGAAACAAAACAATTACAATTATAAAACTATATATAAAATAATTAAATGCAGCGAATGAAAATAAAATGTTTGAATTGTGCACATGTTTATTTCAAATAGTGTTAGCTTTTCTCATAACTCCAGTCTCGTTTGAGGTTTGTTTGGTTATCGTTCAGTTTATATTTAGTATTGGTTTATTGGTCTGAATTAAATGGGAACAGTGCAGTCAGTCACTCATGGGAACAGTGCAGACAGTCACTCAGTTGCTACTAGTCGGTGAGTATAGAGGGGTAGAGTCTGGTAGATTTATAATACATAAAAGTAGTAGATCTATTTATAGTGCTGTGCACTGTGGTATCAGCTACCTATCTGTTGTGTGACTCTTCAATGTTTAAAAGATCTGCATTCCTGAAGTGTTTTTGTATATTGAAGCCAGTTAAATGGTCAATATTTAGCTCATTACCTTGCTCCATACAAACTTTACAAAGCTAATGAATAGACTTATCAATAATTGTTTACCAAAAATCCCAAAGTGGTAAACACCACCTTGGCCTGTTGGCCATTATTGAAGGCAATAAGTGCCCTTTTTAGCCATCCATTATGATCCATATACTGTTATTGTTAGTAGGCTAATTGCAACATAAAAATAACCTTTCAAAAAGACAAAAAAGCTGAAAAAATAAAAAAATTCAAACAAATCATGAAAAAATATAAAAAATCATTGATTTTTTATTTTTTTTTAATAAAAAAAAATCACCAACCCTGCACATCAGTGATATTGGCACAAATTCAACAAATTGTATAAAAAGCTTCACAAAATCAAGTTACTACTCACGGATCCCTGCTCATTATCGTTGGGGTTGTTCGATGGGGGAGGATCTTCAACATCAGGCAAAATGTGGCGTGTGCACTGCAGTAAATAGTTCCTGTAGGACGAAAGTAGGTATAGGAATTTAGCTTTACTTTACTGCACTTGGCCAAGAAACAAATCAAAAGAATTCATAATGAATAATGCATCATGCTGAAAAACATTAATAATTGAAAATACCTATGTGCATTTTTACATCAATAATATATGAAGGCAACTTCCAAGATTTAATTAAAATTAATTAAAAAAATTTTTCGAGCTTCCTAATACTTCTCCAATGTCATAAAAATAACCTACAGTATCAACCAATAAAATTTATTCCAATGCCGTTTTGATAGGAGTGCTTGAAAATAAATTTATTTTCATGAAGTGCTATGAAAATTTCCTATAAAATCAATTTTCCTGGGATTACTTAACAGGCAAAAGACACTAATAAATTTATCAATTTTCAAGTTAAATTTTTGACTTTATTATTAAATCAAGTGAAAATTTTGATACAAAGAATTAATTAGAATATTTCCTGACATCATGACAATATCTCTGGTAGGGTTGCCACATTAAGTTCATCATGAATTCAATACTAATTTCTTAAATGTATATTTGACCAGGGCCTATACTTTCAAAAAACGTTAGGAGATCATAAGTTCATCAGCCAATCATTGACGGCCTTTCAAGCAAAATCCACCAATCATAGACAAGAAAATAGAGCGTAAGTACTTACGTTCACTTAGCGAGTTTTGAAAGTATGGCCCCAGAGATCTAACCTCAAGAACAGTCCACGTAGAGGATGTTGCACACCTCGGCACATCTCCACCAGATCCTTGAGGATGTTCCTTTTGCAGTTCTCATTGCTTTTGATGTACACAAGACCAACAGTAATCAGCAAATACCTGAAAATTTTTAAACCATTAGGTCAAATTTGTGCTAACTTGGAGGTTATAGAACTGGAGTGTTAACTGCATTCATAAAAACAAAGATCTAAGTTAACTGAATTAATCAACAATTACGATAAAATGAAATGATCAATTAAGAAATTTTCAATGGCAATTAAGATGAATATACAAATAGGAAAGGAACTCACAGTCTGGGCACAATATTGCCAGCATATTGTACCAGTTCATACAAGTCTGCAACTTTGTGGCCAGTCTGAAACTCCTCAAGCAAATGAGTTTCCAGGTGACGAAGTTCATCACTGATGAGCATGTCTGAGAAACACAGCTAAGGAAAAATGGAAACCAATATTGCATTTTTATGAACCAATTTGAATGCACTCCAAATCTTATGTGTTAGTCATTTACCCTATGTATAAAAGGAGATCTATTTATGACAATGCTCTTTTTTTAATTTTACTAATATGATTTTTTTTCTCCCACACTTGATCCAAAATCTTCAACTCATGAACAGGACATAAAAATCTCGTATGTTCTTATTAAAGTGAGGTACACTAGGAATGTTTCTTGGATCACTTAGAGTGAGCAACACATCATGACAGCTTAGGGGGTTTAGTCAATTCTAAATGGGGTTTAGTCAACATGGGGTTGACTCTATGGGGTTTAGTCAATGAGACTGGATGTGGCTGCAGCAAGAGCTGTAGAGAGGGGGTGTTTAACAACCATGAATGCCTGGTGTTGGAGGCTGCATTGGGTTGTTCAACGGGCAGAATATAACTCAACACTCTGCCTTCACTACAGTTCACCTACCAGGAATTGTAATGATCAATAACAAAGATAAGATATTGGTTGCAAAAAATCAACAGGATGGACTCTAATTGATAGTTCATCTGTGGGTTGTCATTGACTCCCCACATAAATAGCTTGCATATAAAGGATACAAAGCTCATAATACATCTTTGGTGAAAGTAATGATGTCCTGAGCTCCCCAAGCATGTTGGAAGCATGCTTCAGTCCATCCATGAGCCTTCCATTATCCAGGCATCGCTTCATTTGAAATGACTGGCTCCTGACCACTGCCATAGCTTCATCTAACAGCTTTTCTGGTTCTTCATTGGGAGACACCATCTTTGACGTGGGCTTGGAGATCCTTTGTGTAGTATTTGAACTGTTTGTAGGCTCACTTGGAGATGGAGCTTTACGAGTATTGCCCAGCAACACTGGCAGCTTGACGGATAATTATTTAAGCTATAGAATTAACAGATAACACTAGCTAAGATCAATGGTATCCTGGAGAAAAAATTTAGAACAAAGTAATTTTTATAATGCAAGAATAAGTACCACATTGGCAAGCACAAGAAACATCATCAGCAAAAAAAAAGTCTCAGGAGTACCTACAAGCTTAATCCACAGGAAGACTAAATTCACTCAAAGGACATGAAAACCTTAATAAACAGATAAACAGGCAAAGGAACATATAATAAAAATCTTGAAATTTTATTTTTGAAAACAGGAACATCATACTGCTTTGTGACATTCCTACATAAGAGCACAGTACACTAGAACTCCAGGATGAAAACTGAAGCCACAGTGTACATGTATGATGTATCTATTCCTAATGGATGTAGATGTGCGAGTGTGATATTCCAGTGTGTGGTGTATCCCCTGGGCACAACTGTATTTGTGAGCCAGAGATGACCAGATCTGGGCCCGGATAACATTCTTATATACGTACCTGAGGAAGGAAGCAATTTTGAAATTGACCAGCAGTACATGGCCTGGCCCAGTGCCCACTTGTGAATTATCAAAACTGTCTGTTTACTATGACTTTTTAGTTGTCAGTTCATTTATGAATCTGTTGATATAGGTACTCCATGATCTTATTCAGCATCTTACACATCATAACACTGACACCCATAATACTTTCCTGGTTGTTGTTGTTGTTCACCCTCCCCGTCCCGCTACAAATGCGGGACAGGGTCTACACCCATTCCTGTGGCCAGCCCAACCTCTCTCCCCAGCGCACCAGCAGCCCTGTAATGCCTTCCTCAAAGGACGCTACGCCTAGAACGGTTCAGCACTAGTTACACCTCCTGACATACTGAGCTGAGTGAGCTCTAGGCCTAAAAAGAGGATCAATAATTTTATACTAATTAAGTTTCTTTGTTTAATAGTGCAGGAACTGAACAGTTGCAATTATTGAATATATCTGAAAAAACACGAAAATGAATACATAATACTAACTTTGGCACGGTTATGACAAATATAAGAGAATCTCTTACACCAGAAAATACACAAAAAGCTTATGAACTAGGTCCTAGGAACACCGAACAGGTTAAGCAACCCTGGTTGCAGACAGAGTAAAAGTGGCCGGCGGAGATACGTGTAGGGTAAACGCGGTATATTCCAACACATTAAGAACGCATCGAGAAATGAAAAACTATAAAAAAAATGTATGCGTTACATAAGTTCTGTTGCCTTCACATGACTCTCAAAACACTTCACTACGCGTCAGCAACGATGAAACGTCACAAAATGTTGCCATATTTATTAAAAAGCCTTTAGAATGGAAACCTACCAAATCCCTATATTCCGTCACTTTGTGTGGCAACATCCGACACGTGGTGAGTCGTATTAAACGCATGGAACTAAAACAAAGCTTAATATAAAGGAAAAGCTGGAGAGGTGATGGAATTACCTACGATGTCGGAATATACCGCGTTTACCCTATGTAAATTGCTTACTCTAGCAGTCTAGCAAGTGTTACCATATGGGCATTTCGCACTACATAATTGCTAAATTAATGAGCTGCGGCTACAAGCCCTGCTGCCTCGATGGGAGAGCTCCACAAAACCAGGGGCAACAATGGCGTGACCAGTTCCGAGCAGCCAAACAGGTGGTTGGTGCTGTGATCATGTCTGTGACAAAGTGGACAAAGAGAGGATGGATGTGTGACTGACTGACTGGATCTATCTTGTGTAGGTATTGGTGTAGTAGGGGGCTGCAGGGGGGACTTGTTTGTATGGAGTTGTGCTAGTGCTCAGCATGTGTGTCTGGGTAATACTAGCTAATTGGGTTTCTCAGTTTCTGAAGAGCATAGATAGAATAACCCATTAATGTCGAGAATTATTTTCTGAATTTTTTTTCGGTTCCTTGTGAGAATATTATCATTTGTGATGGTAATAAGCAAAAAGTATGTTCATATTTTTATTTTTCGTTGTATGTGAAAAATTATAGCTTGGTTCCATATGGAACCGCTCGGCATTAACATAACGTTTCTTCAAACAACACTTTTTCCGATAGTAAATCAAGCAAGGT